ACATTCCGGGTCCACCCCCATCGGCCCGGGGTGGTATTGCAAGCATGTCAGCACCCGTCAATTTGGCCACTTTTGAGCTGGGACCCTCCCCCACTGACTAAAACACACAGCATTCTAAGGCCCTGTTTATACTGAGACGCTGCGCAGACGTTTCCAGGCTATTAACAGAAACGGCCTGGCTCCTAATGCAAATTTCTCAGCGTTCACATGAGGTTGAAAAACTATGTAGTTCTAGCGCCCGGCCAGTAGTGGGCAGAGAAACTTTACAACACTCACGACCCCCAGCCCCGTGCCCAGCCCCCCTCTCGGCAGTATACTCACTTCCTGTGCCAGACCCTCAGAAAGTACCAACATCATTCTGCATTTTAACAGCAGCTGTGAAAATGGGAACTGAACCTAGAGCTTCGCGTGGTCTCGTTTGGACGAACGAAGGAGTAGAATTATCCTCTGTGCCGCGCTGGAAGCCCACGAAGCTAGTTAGTGCGACCGCCGCCATTGTTGTTGATGTTTGTTCTCCGCTACTGCGCATGTCCAAATTTACGTGCGGGGGTCAGAGCAGAGGGGGATTTCACACCTTTCCCCTCTCGCGGGTGTGAAAGAGCTCCCCGCTGTGCAGCGTTTCTGAGTTATCCCACTCTGCAGGCTGGATCTGTCCACTTACGTTTTCACCTCCCTGGAACACAGTCTTCGTATGAACGGTTGGTAGCAACCGACATCCAACTATACCGTTTTACTGCCACATTGTCTCTGTGTAAACTCAGCCTAATACAGTCAAAGCTGCGCAGGTCACTTCCTCTTCACTGCTGCTGCTGCCCCTGATGCCAATCACCAATCAGTGGCTCAGGATCCTCTCTTCCCTCTGCTCCAATCAGCTGCTGACTTTATGAAGCACAAAGATCAAAGTGTTTCCAAAGCTGCGGATCACGTCCCCTCTACAAACGAAGCTTCAGTTGTGCAGATGTATTTAATGGTGCAGTTCTGGAGACAGCCGACAGATGGCGCCATGTGACTGTTTCAGTGTGAGCTCTCCTGCTGTGAGCTTTCACTGTTTATTGTTAGAGCTGTTCATATAAAACACTGTTCTGTGGAGAATCATGACATACATCATAAATGCACTTGTATTAGTGACACTAAGATGCCCACGTGACAACCATGTGTTCACTTCAATTCTCTTTATTTACAAAACTTAAACAAGTCCCACACACACTAATGTCTAAGGTTTGGAAGTGCTTTGGAAAAGGGAACTCCCAGGAAGCTGCAGGAGCTTATAGGCGGGGCCTGGTTTATCTTTTCTGCACCGTCTTCTCCTCGTGTTAAAAAGGATCAATAAATCATAAAGAATAAAACAATAGTTACAACAAAACAACAAATAAAAAACACAAACCTCCACAAGAGTAAATAAAGACAAAGTAAATAAACTAAAATAAAAAGTCCTTGAGCAGATGAAGACTATAATGATGTCATTAATCATTTCCTCTTATTTATGGATTATTTATTTTTAGTCCTTTCCATTATTTTCCTAAGACGCTCCTTTCTCTCGAGTTGTGTTGTTATTATTAATATTATATAAAACGTATTATTATTGTTCATTATAAATGATCCAAATTGCCCCATTTCTCCCTAAACTCGTCTCCTTCATTATTCTTCTTCTTTGTGGATCCATTTCCTGGACTTGTTGAAGTGCTTCCAGTTTGTGGTTTTGGGGATTGATTTTTCTCCAGTTTGTGGTCATTAGTTTGAGAGCAGTGAGTGCCATGATCCAGAAGAGCTTTTCCTCTCTTCATTCTACGACTTCATGTTCCCAGTAATAATGTTTCTCCTCAAAGAAGTGGATCTTTCCTTCTCCTTGCTTCATGTTTGTGTTGCCTTCAGTCCAATGGTCTTGGATGTTTGTACATGTGTAAAAACATGTGTTCAGCTTTAGACATTTACAGTCACTTTACTGCACTGCTACATGTCTCTGTCCTTAGTGCACGTGGAGATAGTCCTCATTTTAACACATTTATCAACATTCTTTTATGTCTGCACCTTTTTACTCTTACCACGTGTTTGCACCATGAGCCAAAGCAGATTCCTGGTTTGTCACTTCCTGTTACAATAAACTTTGTCGCTGCTCTTCCTCCAACATTCTCCAGGTTTTTGTTCTGTGGCTTTGCTCCTGCAGCCAAAGAGTCTGTGTCTGTTCTGTCACTGGTACCTTTGGTTCAGTCCAGTTGTGTCCATGGTTCTGTGTCTGTTCTGTCACTGGTACTTTTGGTTCAGTCCAGTTGGGTCCATGGTTCTGTGTCTGTCACTGGTACCTTTGGTTCAGTCCAGTTGTGTCCATGGTTCTGTGTCTGTTCTGTCACTGGTACCTTTGGTTCAGACCATTTGTGTCCATGGTTCTGTGTCTGTTCTGTCACGGGTACCTTTAGTTCAGACCAGTTGTGTCCATGGTTCTGTGTCTGTTCTGTCACTGGTACCTTTGGTTCAGACCAGTTGTGTCCATGGTTCTGTGTCTGTTCTGTCACTGGTACCTTTGGTTCAGACCATTTGTGTCCATGGTTCTGTGTCTGTTCTGTCACTGGTACCTTTAGTTCAGACCAGTTGTGTCCATGGTTCTGTGTCTGTTCTGTCACTGGTACCTTTGGTTCAGACCAGTTGTGTCCATGGTTCTGTGTCTGTTCTGTCACTGGTACCTTTGGTTCAGACCATTTGTGTCCATGGTTCTGTGTCTGTTCTGTCACTGGTACCTTTGGTTCAGACCAGTTGTGTCCATGGTTCTGTGTCTGTTCTGTCACTGGTACCTTTGGTTCAGTCGAGTTGTGTCCATGGTTCTGTGTCTGTTCTGTCACTGGTACATTTGGTTCAGACCAGTTGTGTCTATGGTTCTGTGTCTGTTCTGTCACTGGTACCTTTGGTTCAGACCAGTTGTGTCCATGGTTCTGTGTCTGTTCTGTCACTGGTACCTTTGGTTCAGACCAGTTGTGTCCATGGTTCTGTGTCTGTTCTGTCACTGGTACCTTTGGTTCAGACCAGTTGTGTCCATGGTTCTGTGTCTGTTCTGTCACTGGTACCTTTGGTTCAGTCCAGTTGGGAGCATGGTTCTGTGTCTGTCACTGGTACCTTTGGTTCAGTCCAGTTGTGTCCATGGTTCTGTGTCTGTTCTGTCACTGGTACCTTTGGTTCAGACCAGTTGTGTCCATGGTTCTGTGTCTGTTCTGTCACTGGTACCTTTGGTTCAGACCAGTTGTGTCCATGGTTATGTGTCTGTTCTGTCACTGGTACCTTTGGTTCAGACCAGTTGTGTCCATGGTTCTGTGTCTGTTCTGTCACTGGTACCTTTGGTTCAGACCAGTTGTGTCCATGGTTCTGTGTTTGTTCTGTCACTGGTACCTTTGGTTCAGTCCAGTTGTGTCCATGGTTCTGTGTCTGTTCTGTCACTGGTACCTTTGGTTCAGACCAGTTGTGTCTATGGTTCTGTGTCTGTTCTGTCACTGGTACCTTTGGTTCAGACCAGTTGTGTCCATGGTTCTGTGTCTGTTCTGTCACTGGTACCTTTGGTTCAGACCAGTTGTGTCCATGGTTCTGTGTCTGTTCTGTCACTGGTACCTTTGGTTCAGACCATTTGTGTCCATGGTTCTGTGTCTGTTCTGTCACTGGTACCTTTGGTTCAGACCAGTTGTGTCCATGGTTCTGTGTCTGTTCTGTCACTGGTACCTTTGGTTCAGTCGAGTTGTGTCCATGGTTCTGTGTCTGTTCTGTCACTGGTACATTTGGTTCAGACCAGTTGTGTCTATGGTTCTGTGTCTGTTCTGTCACTGGTACCTTTGGTTCAGACCAGTTGTGTCCATGATTCTGTGTCTGTTCTGTCACTGGTACCTTTGGTTCAGACCAGTTGTGTCCATGGTTCTGTGTCTGTTCTGTCACTGGTACCTTTGGTTCAGACCAGTTGTGTCCATGGTTCTGTGTCTGTTCTGTCACTGGTACCTTTGGTTCAGTCCAGTTGGTGTCCATGGTTCTGTGTCTGTCACTGGTACCTTTGGTTCAGTCCAGTTGTGTCCATGGTTCTGTGTCTGTTCTGTCACTGGTACCTTTGGTTCAGACCAGTTGTGTCCATGGTTCTGTGTCTGTTCTGTCACTGGTACCTTTGGTTCAGACCAGTTGTGTCCATGGTTATGTGTCTGTTCTGTCACTGGTACCTTTGGTTCAGACCAGTTGTGTCCATGGTTCTGTGTCTGTTCTGTCACTGGTACCTTTGGTTCAGACCAGTTGTGTCCATGGTTCTGTGTTTGTTCTGTCACTGGTACCTTTGGTTCAGTCCAGTTGTGTCCATGGTTCTGTGTCTGTTCTGTCACTGGTACCTTTGGTTCAGACCAGTTGTGTCTATGGTTCTGTGTCTGTTCTGTCACTGGTACCTTTGGTTCAGACCAGTTGTGTCCATGGTTCTGTGTCTGTTCTGTCACTGGTACCTTTGGTTCAGACCAGTTGTGTCCATGGTTCTGTGTCTGTTCTGTCACTGGTACCTTTGGTTCAGAGCTCCCTCGGTCACCGTGGAAACTGCAGACTGCTGTTTAAAGCTGGGGTACCTGACTTTAGAACCACACACATTGAACTTTGTAACAAAATCCATCCAACAAGTTCCTTTTCATATTATTTTATTATTATTTTGATCATAAATGACAATGGTTACACACACACCCCCATGGTCTAGGTCTTGATGGTATCTCATGACATATAATTAGATGATTATATAAGAAGCCGCAGTAAACACACAGTATTATGTACACACAATAAAAGACACTAAATACAGATAATATAGAAACAGATAATATTGTTTTCACATCTGTGTATGATCCGTGTGTGAATGTGCCATACAAGTGTCGTTGATAAATGAGACACATTCCATCCACAGCTTTTTCATTCTGAGCCCGAACAGAGAGAAATAAAACAACAGGATCAAAGCTGAACAGAAGGAGGCGTTTACACCCAGAGCATCATGGGAAATATTTACACTTCACTCATTTCTCCTGCTCCCTCTCCTCCTCTCTACTCTCCTGGTCCGTCTCCTCCTCTCTCCTCTTCTGGTCCGTCTCCTCCTCTCTCCTCTCCTGGTCCGTCTCCTCCTCTCTCCTCTCCTCCTGGTCCATCTCCTCCTCTCTCCTCTCCTGGTCAGTCTCCTCCTCTCTCCTCTCCTGGTCCGTCTCCTCCTCTCTCCTCTCCTGGTCCGTCTCCTCCTCTCTCCTCTCCTGGTCCGTCTCCTCCTCTCTCCTCTTCTGGTCCGTCTCCTCCTCTCTCCTCTTCTGGTCCGTCTCCTCCTCTCTCCTCTTCTGGTCCGTCTCCTCCTCTCTCCTCTCCTGGTCCGTCTCCTCCTCTCTCCTCTCCTGGTCCGTCTCCTCCTCTCTCCTCTCCTGGTCCGTCTCCTCCTCTCTCCTCTCCTGGTCCGTCTCCTCCTCTCTCCTCTCCTGGTCCGTCTCCTCCTCTCTCCTCTTCTGGTCCGTCTCCTCCTCTCTCCTCTTCTGGTCCGTCTCCTCCTCTCTCCTCTTCTGGTCCGTCTCCTCCTCTCTCCTCTCCTGGTCCGTCTCCTCCTCTCTCCTCTTCTGGTCCGTCTCCTCCTCTCTCCTCTCCTCCTGGTCCGTCTCCTCCTCTCTCCTCTCCTGGTCCGTCTCCTCCTCTCTCCTCTCCTGGTCCGTCGCCTCCTCTTTCCTCTTCTGTGATGACCTCATTCATCAGGATCATGGTCTCATGTGTCTCACTAGCGCCTCTTCTGGACTTAACCTGAAACAACAAGACATCCACTGGTCTGAACCAGGTCTGAACCAGGTCTGAACCAGGTCTGAACCAGGTCTAAGCCAGGTCTGAAGCAGGTCTGAAGCAGGTCTGAACCAGGTCTGAACCAGGTCTGAACCAGGTCTGAACCAGGTCTGAACCAGGTCTGAACCAGGTCTGAACCAGGTCTGAACCAGGTCTGAACCAGGTCTGAACCAGTCGCTGTAACAGAAGCAGTAGCAGTAGTAGCAGCACCTTGTATAAGCAGAAGTTGTTGCAGTAGCAGTAGCAGTAGTAACTTGAAGCGTCCCTTCTCAGGTCTGTCCTGTACATGTGTGTGTCTGGTGTACTGCAGAAGTCTGTCCTGTACATGTGTGTGTCTGGTGTACTGCAGAAGTCTGTCCTGTACATGTGTGTGTCTGGTGTACTGCAGAAGTCTGTCCTGTACATGTGTGTGTCTGGTGTACTGCAGAAGTCTGTCCTGTACATGTGTGTGTCTGGTGTACTGCAGAAGTCTGTCCTGTACATGTGTGTGTCTGGTGTACTGCAGAAGTCTGTCCTGTACATGTGTGTGTCTGGTGTACTGCAGAAGTCTGTCCTGTACATGTGTGTGTCTGGTGTACTGCAGAAGTCTGTCCTGTACATGTGTGTGTCTGGTGTACTGCAGAAGTCTGTCCTGTACATGTGTGTGGCAAACAAAATGAAACAATGGATAAAACAAATAAACGAGTGGCTCCCCTCCCTCTGGGTCCTCTCCCCCGGGTCGCCCCCCTCCCTCTGGGTCCTCTCCCCCGGGTTGCCCCCCTCCCTCTGGGCCCTCTCCCCCGGGTTGCCCCCCTCCCTCTGGGCCCTCTCCCCCGGGTCGCCCCACTCCCTCTGGGCCCTCTCCCCCGGGTCGTTCCCCTCCCTCTGGGCCCTCTCCCCGGGTCGCTCCCCTCCCTCTGGGCTCCCCAGTAGTAGTAGTATTAGTCATACCTTTTAGTAGCAGAAGCTGTAGTACCTTTTGATGTAGCTGTAGTAGTAATATTAGTAGTACCTTGTCGTAGTAGTAGCAGTAACTTGTAGTAGTAGTAGTAGTAGTACCTTGTAGTAGTAGTATCAGTAGCAGTAGTACCTTGTAGTAGCAGTAACAGCAGTAGCAGCAGTAGTAGTAGTAGTAGTACCTTGTAACAGCAGTAGCAGTAGTAGTAGTAGTACCTTGTAACAGCAGTAGCAGTAGTAGTAGTAGTAGTAGTAGTAGTAGTAGTACCTTGTAACAGCAGTAGCAGTAGTAGTAGTAGTAGTAGTAGTAGTACCTTGTAACAGCAGTAGCAGTAGTAGTAGTAGTAGTAGTAGTACCTTGTAGCAGTAGTAGCAGTAGTAGCAGTACCTTGTAGCAGTAGTAGCAGAGTGGCAGGATGAACAGGAGAGTCATCAGTAGAATAATCAGGACTCTGATGATCGGGTTAAACCTTTGAACTGCAAAAACAAAAACACAAGAGAAAACAGGTTAGATAAAGTACAAGTACAAGTACAAGTACAAGTACTTCAAGAGAAACTGGATTCACAGAGAAAATATCACGTCTCCAGGATCACAGAGAACGATAAAACACAGATGTTTTATCCCAAAACAGTTCCTGAGCTCTGAGGGGCTGGTGCTCTGTGGACTGGACTCTGACTGCCACCCCCCGACCCAGACATGGATTAAGGGGAAGAAGATGGATGGATGGACAGATACTGAGCTCATTGCTCTTTCTCAAGTCAAAGAAAAGGAAGAAGCAGTTTTCTCTTTCTTTAGTTTCTCACCATCTACCAACAGTATCAGCAGTAGTTTCAGCAGTAGTTTCAGCAGTAGTATCAGCAGTAGTATCAGCAGTAGTATCAGCAGTAGTATCAGCAGTAGTTTCAGCAGTAGTTTCAGCAGTAGTTTCAGCAGTAGTTTCAGCAGTAGTGTCAGCAGTAGTTTCAGCAGTAGTATCAGCAACAGTATCAGCAGTAGTATCAGCAGTAGTATCAGCAGTAGTATCAGCAGTAGTTTCAGCAGTAGTATCAGCAGTAGTTTCAGCGGTAGTTTCAGCAGTAGTATCAGCTGTAGTATCAGCAGTAGTTTCAGCAGTAGTATCAGCAGTAGTATCAGCAGTAGTATCAGCAGTAGTTTCAGCAGTAGTATCAGCAGTAGTATCAGCAGTAGTATCAGCGGTAGTTTCAGCAGTAGTATCAGCAGTAGTTTCAGCAGTAGTATCAGCAGTAGTATCAGCAGTAGTATCAGCAGTAGTATCAGCAGTAGTTTCAGCAGTAGTATCAGCAGTACTATCAGCAGTAGTATCAGCAGTAGTTTCAGCAGTAGTTTCAGCTGTAGTTTCAGCAGTAGTTTCAGCAGTAGTATCAGTAGTAGTTTCAGCAGTAGTATCAGCAGTAGTATCAGCAGTAGTTTCAGCAGTAGTTTCAGCTGTAGTTTCAGCAGTAGTTTCAGTAGTAGTATCAGTAGTAGTTTCAGCAGTAGTATCAGCAGTAGTATCAGCAGTAGTATCAGCAGTAGTTTCAGCAGTAGTTTCAGCAGTAGTTTCAGCAGTAGTATCAGCAGTAGTTTCAGCAGTAGTTTCAGCAGTAGTATCAGTAGTAGTATCAGCAGTAGTTTCAGCAGTAGTTTCATTAGTAGTATCAGCAGTAGTTTCAGCAGTAGTATCAGTAGTAGTAGTAGTAGTAACAGCAGTAGTATCAGCAGTAGTAGCAGTAGCAGTAGCAGCAGTAGCAGTAGCAGTAGTAGTAGTAGCAGTAGCAGCAGTAGTAGTAGTAGTAGTACCTTGTAGCAGCAGTAGCAGTAGTAGTAGTAGCAGTAGCAGCAGTAGCAGCAGTAGTAGCAGCAGTAGTAGTAGCAGCGGTAGCAGTAGCAGCAGTAGTAGTAGCAGCAGTAGCAGTAGCAGCAGTAGTAGTAGCAGCAGTAGCAGTAACAGCAGTAGCAGTAACAGAAGCAGTAGCAGCAGTAGTAGTAGAAGTAGCAGTAGCAGCAGTAGCAGCAGCAGCAGCAGTAGCAGTAGCAGCAGTAGCAGCAGTAGCAGCAGTAGTACTGTAGCAGCAGTAGCAGCAGTGGCGGCCGGCCAATAGAGGGCGCTAGGGCGCCGCCCCACCACTCACAACTTGCCATGTTACCTTGAATAAAACGTTAAAAAAAATAATAACATTAAAATATTTCGAAATGTATGTGTGTTTTATTTCAGATGTGGAAGAAATACTTTATAGTTTATGCTGAGTTGGATTGATTAAGCTCATCAGCGTTGTCTGTCGGACTGAGGACGTATTTCCGCCTCAGGGCGCAAAAGATTGCGCCCTGAGCCGTGTATGGACTCTCGTTAAAAGTTGGACATGCGCAGTAGCTCCTCTTCAATGCAAGAGATAAGACGATTTGGGGGCGCAGGAGAAGTGCGCCCTGAGGGGGCGGGATCGCCCGCGACCTGTACTGTCACTGTCTGTGACGTCCGTTTACAGTGATTGACAGGTCAAGCTGTGGGAGTTTGAGACGAACGTAAAGAGACGCAAAATGGAGAACGAGAAAAATAATAATTCAGTTAGATCACTCAAAACAATACCGTTTGAGAGAAGATCATACCAGGAGAAGGTTGAGGTTAAAGAGCTTGGACCTGATCAGCCAAATATTACCATTAGTCAGCAGTCCAGCGACAGGGGGAGACGGTACACTCGTACTTTTTCCAGGACCTGGTTCAGCGCCAAATCTTGGCTAGCAGCATGTAGCGAGGCTAATGCTTTATTTTGCTTTCCATGCCTCTTGTTTCAAACATCAGGATCTGACCCAGCATGGATCAAGACAGGTATGACTGATCTGAAGCACTTTTTAGAAAAGGCAAAGAAGCATGAGCAGACTGGTATCCACATGCAAAATGCCCTCAAATTAGCTATGTTTGGGAAGATAAATATTTCATTCTCGTGTGAGAATGAAATATTCAGTCACAACAGTCAGTGTAAACTTACTTACTGCTGGTATATATCTAGTCATCATATTCATAGCCCCCCCAGTAGAAAATTCCACCAGCCGCCACTGAGTAGCAGTAGCAGTATCTCGTACCTCCCAGCCTCAGCTCCAGTCTCTCGCTCTCGGAGGTGAAGCTGTGGTTGAACACCTGTAGGTGGTAAACACAGGTGTAGTCTCCTTTGTGGGCGGGGCCAGTGTGATTGAACAGGAAGTGTGCAGAGTGATTGACAGCAGGCAGGGTGTGGTTCCCAGAGGGAGAGAGCAGCTGGAAGGAGCCTCCTGGGAACTGAGGCTTCACCGAGCACTGGACCGAGAACTGAGACCCCAACTGCACACGCACCACCTGCACCCCGACCTGGGAGTCCTGGACCTGGGAGTCCTGGACCTGGGAGTCCTGGACCTGGGAGACCTGGACCTGGGAGACCTGGACCTGGGAGTCCTGGACCTGGGAGTCCTGGACCTGGGAGTCCTGGACCTGGGAGACCTGGACCTGGGAGTCCTGGACCTGGGAGTCCTGGACCTGGGAGTCCTGGACCTGGGAGTCCTGGACCTGGGAGGCCCCCACAGTCACAAAGAGGGACAGGACTGGACGGTTCAGTAAGTCTGCAGAGACAGAGACATCAGCTCCAGCAGAGATTTAAGTTAGACTTTGACTTTTACCTGAACACATCACCTCCACACCATACGAGGAGGAGTAAGTGTAGTCATAAACACATTCTCTCACTTTAGTCTTCCTCCTCTTCATGCCGACAGCTGAGATCCTCCACACACGACTGTGTGGAAAACCATCTCTGTGACGTCCAGAAACAGCAGACCCACAGTCCAGGTCTCTGCACACAGCAGCTGAGTGCTTCTTGGTCCAGACTTCTCTATAAGCCTTCATCACTCGTCTCCACTCTCCTCTGAGTCTGACCTCCACTGTCCCGGCGCAGCGACTGGCCCCTCCCACCAGCCTGAGCGGTTCTGAGCAACACAACAACTCTTCAGACACACAAACATAACACACACATTTGAGAAAACTGGATTGGACACAGACACCAAGAGCAGACGCACAAGTGGGACACACAAACATGACCACATTTGGTTCTATTATAGAGCAACGGACAATACACTTATTTACACTTTATTTTAACACACACACAATCACACACACACTTACACACACATACACGTTTTTGTTACCTGGTGGGTCCCTTTGACAGGGCCGTTCAGAATGGGACCCATAGACATAATCTTTTTTTACTGGGACTACTTTAAGTAATACAAAACAGTCAATAGAAACCAAACAACTATTTTAAAGGAATTTTATTTTAGATTTTTTTTTCGAATTGCAGTGATTCTATTTTTGACATAGAATTTAATGCCACTCCATGTCCGATGTCTAAGGTCATCTGGTGAGGCATTAATGCAGGCCAGGCAGTGAGACTTCCCAGGGACCTTTCCAGTCTGTATGAAAGGTGTCATGGTCTTCTCCACAGCCTTCACCTCAGATGCAGACCATGGCTTTCTTACACGTTCTAGGGAGAGAAATAAAAATATATTAGCAATATACACTCCCAGGGTGAGGACCAAGCAGCCTGGCTGTAATCCCCTACCTGGTACACTTACCAGAAGGGGCACTGCCACTACCATGGGGTGCATCTGGATGAATGGTTGAAGGTTCTCCGCTTGAAGTTTCTTTTAGCCCGTCCGTTTGTGAGAGGATCTCTACTGCTCTCCCTGTCGCACAGAAAATAAAAATACAAGTGGCCTTTAGGGGAAAAAAATCATACAAATTTTAATAATATCAAGAATTACCTTCAGGCTCAATTTGTATCTGGTCGAGGCTCTTTCCTTCGAATTCCGTCACTCTTCCCTGCTCCATGGCCATCAACACTTTGCTGATTTTGGCCAGCTCCAGTGTCCCCTCTGGTAGTCTGTAATATTGCCTGTGGATGCGAATGTCATGGCCGAGGAAGTTGGCAAGTATGTCCATTTCATTCTCTTTCATATTGAGAACAGTAGACATAGTAGCTATGTGCTTTCTAAGTTTGGTTGAGGATAGCATCTCTGGATGCACCGCACCACATTCTTTGGCTACCTGCCGTAGGGAGTCTGATCCCCTGATGTGGGTGTCTGCGCCCGGGCGGGAAAAGAAGTATGGGTTATGGTCAGAGATGGAACAGGCCCTTCTGTTCTCCACCAGCACCTCCATCCAAGCAATCATTTCAGGAGTCAAAAGAACCGGCACTTTCCGACTTCTTTTCCCTTTAATTTCAATGCGTTGAAAATGCTGACACAGCTTTTTCTCAAGTTGGGACAGTCCCAGAGCAATGTCAGAATGGATCCCAGTCTTACTTCTTAAGGTAAACGCTGTCAGTGGCATCTTTGAAACCTCACCTTCCCTTCTTCGATTGAAAATAATGACCTCACAAAGAGTCAAAACTGCCAGTTTAGACCAATGCTTAGACGTTGGCTCACTTATTAGGGTTTGCACATATTCAGGTCGACATACCTCAATATGTGCATGCATGGCTCTAACGTCCTCAGTCAGAGGGAGCAGGTCCGGAGTGTTCCAACTTGGCTTGCCGGAGGGTCTGTAGGGCAGCAGAAGAAACACAGACGTCCCACCTCTTCTCAAAAAGCAGCCGGCTTCGTTGGAGGTTTTTAATAAATAGTTCATCAACACAATGCTCCATTTTTGAGTCACATTCAAGAATATCTGCTAGCTTTCTGAGGCTATGGCCGAGTTTGAGGGCCAAGGATGGAGTCTTGTATTGATTTGTTTCCTCATCATATCCAGCCACAGACCTGACTGCATCAATCACATGGTTAAAGTTGGAAGGAATAAAGAAATCCTTAATTGTTTTCAGTTTCCCTGCAGTTTTTGCTTCGTTAATTAACCTACCGACTTCTCTCATTTTCTGCCTAATGTAATCATGCTTAGTCTTATCATGCCCGTGTTTTAAGTACATGTGCTCTCCGAGTCTCAGAATCCCCTTTTCTGCTTTGACAACACCCGTGACCTCATCCTGATGCATTGCCGAAATTAAAGACCACAGCTTTTTGCTGATGCCCTCCGGTACAGGCTGGGCTAGGGAGCAGAGGGACTGGACCCTACTTCTACCTGGTTTAGCCTGGTTTAGCCTGGGCATCTTTCTGTGAAAGCCGGCACCTGGCCACATGCCTCCACAGCGACTTTCGCTTAAGCAATGCCCCACAGTCTATACAGTGCAAAAACTCACTGGATTTAACTGGGGAATTTGGCTGTTTAGCTGGGACTAAAGTTCCAATGCCGGCCTTTAAAACCTCAAAATTGTGCTCACGGTTTCCACTATTCCTGATCAAATCAAACTGAAGTTTACGTGCTTTAGATTTCACAGGTAGAGCCAATGCTCTGGCTACGTCACTTTCATTTCCATGTTTTCTAGTCAAATGACGGGACATTTTGTCGCAGGACATTGAACAGTAGAGGCAGAAGTGTCTCTTGCTGTAAACTCGCCCCCCATTTTTCTTCTTTTGCAGCTGCATGATAACAATCTTATTTGCCTTTGGTTCGTCACTTTCCGAGTCTTGAAGAAAAGTGTTTTTGATTTTTCTTTTTCCATACTTTTTTACAGGTTTCTTCTTGACAGTTAAATCGTCAGAATCTGAGTCGACTTCATCAATTAGGGACTCTTGACTAAGCTGCACAAACAACAAATAATTTGTAATCATTCTATATAACAATTTGAAGTCATGACTTGTAGTCAGCACTTACCAGTGGTTTGTAAGCGTGCGCTTCAGTGTGCTCCTCCATGATTTCTTGCAGCCTAATGAACCACACACTTGCACCTTTTTCTAGCCTGACACCTGATTTCCTCTGTTGTGCTGCTCCATGATTGGCTCAGCCTGCTGGACTGAAATTGCCCCAGTGTGCCCCTCCTTGATATCCCGCAACCCACCACCAGGGTTCCGACACATAACACACTTTTTTCAGGAAAGTAAACCTCCAGGGGTCCTTTCCATATTTTTACAGAGACTGCATAAGGACCGTTAGAAAAGCATTACCCATTGATTATTAAGCTTGGACCAGTGGGGTCCGGTGTTCGGGCCCCACCACGTAAAACCAGTCCCCATGACGTGAGTGGAATCTCAGGTTATGGAACCCACCAGGAGTTGAAAACAAGTGCATGAAGACACACACAAACAAACACATACACACAGACATGCATACACACTCAAACACGTACACACACAGAGACATACACACACACACACATACACACACACAGATATACACAAACACGCACACACACCTACACAAACTGACTCACACACACACACAAGCACACACACAGATACACACATAAACAAACACGGGCCCACACAAAATAAGCACAGAAACACGCACACACACACTGACACACACGCACACAGGCACACACACACACAAACTGACGCACACACAGACACACAGACACACACTCTGGTCTCTGTACAGTGAGGTCAGTCCTGTCTCTGTCCTCGTCTGCTGCTCACTGAGACACACTGTCACATCCAATGATACATGTGTGTGTGTGTGTGTCTGTGTTTGTCACACACACACACACACACACAGACACACACACACAGACACAGACACAGACAGACAGACACACACACACAGACACACAGACACAGACACAGACACAGACAGACAGACACACACACACACACACACACAGACACACACACACACACACACACACAGACACAGAGACAGACAGACACACACACACAGACACAGACACACACACACACACACACACACACACACACACACACACACACACACACACACACACACACACACACCAGACTCATCCTGATCAATTGAATTAAACTGAATTACAGATAGTAAACTTCTAAGATCTCAGTGTTTACAGATGACTCCAGGTCAAACCTAAACTCTGCAGCCTCCACTCTTTAGTAAAACTTTGAATGTTCTCTCACTTTTCAGGTTTCAAATGAAACTACGGTAAGTGTAAAGTGTCAGGATTGGAAGTATTCTGAAAAAACTTTTAAATACAGTGTAGATTACCTTTGGAACAGACACATGGATCTGGAAATATCCTCGGAATCAAAAAACTAAAACAAGAGGAAAGACGTTGCAACCTTGGAAGAGAACAACTCTAACTTTATATAACAAATAGAATTCGTAATACAATATTTCTGCCTCATGCTGTGCATTTATTAAAGTCTCTCCCAACTCAGAGCTTCTCGTAAGTATTACGAACAAAACATATTTCTATTTATCTGGAATTAAAAACAAGTATGATTCTATTACTACATTTAGAAGCTCTGTGTTTTTGATAAAAGTCTCATTAGTTTAAAAATGTACAAAAACACAAAGTTACTGAAATAAATCATTTCATATTCTCAAAAGAGGTGTTTTTGTTTTACTTATTTAACCAAATCAAATATGGTTCAAAGTTCCTAAAAGAATCTGGAGAGTTGGTTTTGTTTCAGATAAACTGCTGAAAGTGTTTTGCAGCAGATCATATCAACTCTGATGTTCTCACTGATGGAAAGCCCTGACTCTGAGAGAAGTATTCATCAACCATATCTTCTTCGTAATTCATCTTAATCTTTAACCAAACACACCCCCACGAATCAAAACAGCTGTGTTACAACAACAGATGGGAACTTCACATGCAGGAGTATCGTTTTGTTGAACCATTTTTTTAACAGCGTGTGTTCTAATGGGGGGGCGACAGTGGCTCAGTTGGTAGAGCATTGGGCTTGAGGCCTGAAGGTGTGTGGGGTCGAGCCACAATAAGACCTACTTCACCACTCCCACTGAGGACTGCTGTTGTTGTGTACTTGGGCAAGACACATAACCCCACTTTTGCCTGAGGCCCTGCTGAAAGATCTCAGGCTCCTGGGAATCACCTCCTTGCAGGAGGATCGTGTGGGGCTGTTGCTCTGTAAACTGGTGCAGCTTGACTGCCACCCCCCGACCCAGACAGGGAATATGGGAAGAACATGGATGGATGGATGGAGTTCTAATGTTCTGTTATCTTACCGTGGTGGTGAAAGCAGGACTGTGGGCTAGGTGAGGCGTTAACATTTGCTAGCCCTGCAGGTTTGCGTTGTTGGATTAGTTTTATATCAGCTTTTTGCCTGAGCTCTTCCCCGGTTGTGTATGATCCTGTCATTGGGGCACTGTCTGGTCCTGGCTCCTTGGTCCTCAGGGTTTCATTAATCATTCCCGCACATGTCTTGTTATGTCTCTTGTTAAAGTTCCCACAGACGCCGATGGAGGGAAATTTGTTTACTTCTCAGCGCTATTATGTCACTGGACCAAGATGTAATAGATAGATCCCGGTAATTTTTTGAATATAAATTATTTTATTCTTTCCTTGATGGTCCAGTCGTACACCCCGCGGCACCTGAGTTCTGGTCACTGCCGGGAGTTGGGGACCACTGCTATAGAGGACGGGGGGAATTTGAATGATTTTAATTCCATGTTTTTTATTTCACAATAAGAAGGTCCTATTCGATTCCACCTCCAGGCTTTCTGTGGATTTTTAAATGTTCTCTCCATCTCTGTATAGTTTCCTCTGTGTTGCTCAGTTTCCTCAACCACTAAAAATCTGTACAATAGAAATGATTGTAAAGAGTGGGTGTATGTATAGTGATGTTGTGGGGCTTTGATGCCCCGAGTGTACGGTGTCTCGTTTCTGTGGAATGACTGGAAAATACTGGTACCTCCACAAATTATACAGCACGTTTTGGTGAGATGTCCTTGAAATACGTAGTTTGAATAAAATAATTTCCATACAGGACTGATTTGTCATTTAGACCTCACAGGTTTTCCTTAAGGTTGTAAAGTCAATTGTTCAATAGTGACAATGGTAAGGTCTCTCCCTTTCAAACAAATTTTCATACACTATACACTTTATCAGAAATGTAAATGTGGACGCCATAAAAAATTCAATCGGCCTGCAGTAGATTGCGGCTCCACAAAACTCTCTTGCTAAATATAGGGACCTTATTGTGCTACGTTAATTTTGAAATGTAATCAGGCAATAATAGTCAACATCTCTTGGTCCCCTGTTGAACCAACAAAGGTCTCAAAACTAAGAGCACTGCCCTGTCCTCAACCCACGTGTAGAGCTATTAGGGACACATGTTTGAAGTCTGTGCTCTTGGGCCGCAAGAGCAAAAAACCACCGTCCTCACATCATTATCCGGCAGTCAGGAGGTCAGACCGCTCGGTTGGCCTTTGTGGCACTGAATTTTAATCATAAGTCCAAATGCCCATTTTTCAAGTATTGGGACATAATAATGGCACAACCTGTATAATGGTACTTTGCCGGCCTGTGTGAGACAATGGCCTAAAATGACTGTGGTCTGTAATAGCAATATTTTTCTCATGTTATTAATACTAGAATCTACATCGAATAAATTATGCTATACGTTTATACTATAAGATTAATGGCGAGATTATTTGTAAATGCAGGGCCAAGAACCACAGTGGCTGTTGATTATTCGCAGTTCAACTGCAAAGCCCAAAGAGATGTGTGAAAAGAGATGGGGAGCAATTCCCACCCGTAACATTCAGTGCAAATGAGACACGTTCTATTCAATTCCATTCAATGTATTCTTGTTTTAGCCCTAAATCACAACAGTAGTTAATTTCGACAACACAAAGTACAACTCAGAAACATATCATTAATAAGGCACATCACGCTTTGCCTCCATGTATTTTACATTACATATCCCACGCATATTTTCCACCAAAAATATCTGTAGTTAGCAGTGTTTTGTCAAAGAGTGCAAATAAAAATAAATAGAGACAGCACTTTTCCTGTGTGTTAATTCCTCTAGCTGTTTAAACCATGTTGCATTTTAAAGTTGTTACTAGAATTGAATATGCTGCTATCCAGAATATAATAATTACAATATGTGTTTCTATAATATTTCGGGTGTTCATTTTGACATATTCTGATGATTATGTTAAAAAATCGACTTGGAAGTGGCACCTTTTCATTCCGCATAGAAACGATAGGGGGCGCCAAAATGGCGGCGATGACGTGGCGAATGACTCTACAGCAGCAAGCTGCAGCAGCAGTCTTAGCAGAAACTGTAGGAGGTTTCACTGTCATCTGAAACAAGGTATAAACATATT